ATACGATTCCCGGTGGCAATGTACACTATCGCCTTCCTGATCTCTGACTTTTTGAGGGTGGGGTATGCACATGCAGGCTGCAGAGGTTTCCACATAGTGTGCCTACCATTTTCACCCGAATAGAATGCCCGGGCAATAAAGCTTTGCATTCGGTGCAAATTTCACTCTCGGTACGGCGATAATGACCCGCGTTCGATTCAAGCAAAGCGGTGGGGCTGTGTGTTGTCCGATAAAAGACAGCAGGCGGCATCCGTTGTACGCGCGTCGGCATGGTTCCATGGTACCCGCCTCGCCATGGCACCACCGTGACACAGCAGGCAGCAGCGAAGGATAAAAGACAGGCAGCAGCGCAGACCACAACACAAGATGCAACCCACGTACAGAGCAAGGATCTCTCGACGGATTAGCACCTTCTGGCTTGTAGTTACTGAACACCTTCCGCGTTTTAGGGCATCAGGCTGCGCGCCGTGCACACACGGCCTCGAACCGGCGGTAACCTCCGCCTCAAGAACGAAGTCTTGTAACGACTACAACCCTTGGAGGTGTTATAGAAACTGAGGGATCCATACGGGTCGTGATATCCCGCGCACCAACCCCCAGGGCTGTAGCGTCCTTGAACGCACACCACACACACACACGACACCACACCGCAGACACGGTAGTCGACAAGCTCCGCTCGGACAACACGAAGCCCCACCACTGCTACTTAACCGGGTCATTCTGGCTTGGCCGGGCCCTCCTTTTCAAATTAAGCAAGGGAAGCGCTGTCGTTCAAAAAGAAAAGAGAAAAAACAAAGGAGGGAAGAAAGGGGACAGAGGGACCTGAATCAGGATTCTGTGCCAAAAACTATTCCGTCAGAGTTCCACCGACTCCTGAGGCCTGAGGCCTGCGGGGTCTGAGGCCTCTACAGCCTGCAGAACCCCTTAACTGTTGGTGGTGAAACTGATGATACTGTAAGAGTCGTAACTGTGGGTAGAGTGGTACACAATGCGTTTGCGGCAGAGAGAGTGGGCATGGACTCAAAAAAAAACCTGATCTTGACGCAGCAAAGAATAGTGAAGAACACGCTCCTCGAGAGGAAATGAAGAAAGAGGTAGTATGTCGACCCCGGTTGGTCTTTCCGCAAACCACGGCAGCGACGAGGGATCACAATGGATATAGCACGCACGGCTGAGAGAAAAGACAAGGGATGCAAGTCTACCCTTGATACAGTACAAAAAAAAAGAAAAAAGAAAAAGAGCAGCAAGGGATACTGAAAGATGGACGCCGAAGAGATACTGAAACATAGACGCTGAACGATAGCCGCTGAACAATATCTGCTGAACGATCGCCGCTGAAAGATGAACGCTGACGGAGATAAAGAACAAAAAGGTAGGAAGTAAGCCCAGGTCGGTTTTCTGCAAACTGCTGCAAGGTTTTCAATTGACCGCACTAAGCACCTCACTGTTCAGTGTCAGAATCACGTCGGCAGAATCACGTCAGCAGAATCACGTCAGAATCACGTCAGCAGAATAACGTCAGAATCACGTCAGAATCACGTCAGCAGAATAACGTCAGAATCACGTCAGAATCACGTCAGCAGAATCACGTCAGCAGAATCACGTCAGCATCACGTCAGAAGAATCACGTCAGAATCACGTCAGAATCACGTCAGAAGAATCACGTCACGCCAGAATCATGTCAGAATCACGGCTTCAGAGCAGAGTGCAGTCAAGCATGTACACCAAGCATTTCACTGTTCCATGCCATTAGACTCGCATTTGAAAACAGACCATAGTATGTATACAGCCCACCAGCACACACCAAGCAGCATACGTACGGCCTTTTAGACTCGCACATCAAACCAGACAGACTAAACTAGCAAGTTGAAAGTTGAAAAGAAATTGCTCTCACACTTGGTCAGACGGACACTAGTAAACTGATCAAGGTGAAATAACTCCAGACTTCTCTCTCTCTCTCTCTCTCTCTCTCTCTCTCTCTCTCTCTCTCTCTCTCTCTCTCTC